TATTGATTATACAAACTAATTGTACAGATGCAAACCAAGCAGATATTTTTATTGGTAAACATTGTTTTTCATTTCTAAGAGGGTAATAGCTGATCATTAAAGAGTATCGCCTACGGAGGATGGGGAATTGATTATATGGTTAAAATGATATACAATATAGTCATATGTTTTTTATATTGTATTTTTTATATTAAAAAGTTACAACCGTTTTGTTTAATATCTTTAAAATTTTCTGTCCATTCAGGCCTCTGCCTCATTTACGAAATGGAAAATTGTGTTTTAAACCCATTGGAGATCCAATTTTTGCCCGAGACTTGTTAACATTTCCAGACAATAAAGAACATTGTGAAACAGGTAAAGGATATTATAGTGTACAGATGTTAGATTGGTGATCCAGATCTACAAATTACTGATTATGAAAATTTATGTTTTTGTTTAGCTTGTGATAGATTTATTAATATTTAATTCTATTTATTATTTTTTCCAAAGGTGTTGGATAAAATTATAATGAATGTTAGCATTCTTTTGACGAAAGATTTGCTATCTTGTTATATTTTAATATGACCAAAGAAAATGTCATAATTTTAAAAATTTCATTTATTGACTTTTTTAGTGTTTGGTATGCTGTTAGGAGACACAATTATTTTGGATAATTTGGATGCTGCCAATCATTATAGAAGAGAGGTATGTATATGACTTCTTTTTTTAATTTGTAGCTCTAATTTTAATGTTTATTCTTTTAATTAAATATATAGGGTCCTTATATAGAAATCATTCCATTTGATGATACAAATACAAATTACTAAGTAGCCTTGTCAAACCCTATTTAAATCCTACAAATCAATGAACAACATAAAATTGGATAAAATATATGAATGAGTGGGTCAAGATGCATATTAAAATGAGAGGTATTTTTGGACCATGAGATTGTCTAAGACTCAAAACCGGTATCTAGTATTGATGACGGTATTGGAAAAAAAGAGTACTTGGACAGTGTCAGTGGACGTGACAATTAGTATAGCACTTTGGAGGGTAGTTTGTCAGTATAAATGTTTCAGTTGTCTGTTGCTACATAGGAAACACTCTAAAAGTTGGTGGCTTTAAACAAC